GTTTTTGAAAACTGGCTTATCTTAATTTTTCAGCCTATTTCAGTTTCCTAAAAGACTGTGTCATCCTTTGATGTTTTCTCCCTACATCAGCATCCCACCCTTTTTACCCCGGGCTGCCTTACTCACAGAGAAACCTTCCGGTATTGACTGGCTCTGATACAACTGCTCTTCTGAAATGGAGATTTGCCAGCGCTGGCTTCAGCCCAGGACTGTATATTTCTCATTTCCTCAGAGGAACAATTGTTCTAAATAAAGAAGGACAGATGCAAAGCTTGTTTTGTAAATCGTACCAGAAGCTTCTATTATTGCAAATTGCCTTTTCCACTGGGCATACTTGGATTTTTATTCAGGTGGTTCAATTCACTAATTCATGTGATTGAAATTACTTTTATCAATTACCTTTCAATGAAGCAGTGCACTAGTACAGTAAAAGCTTTCTAGCTGAAGTAGATTCTTAATTGATTTAAATGGCACACTCATTTGTTATTCAGATACCGGTTTCCCAGGAGCTATCATAGGAATCTGACCACTTGGTTTGTCATGCTTTCAAGAAGCTTTACATTTTTTTTGCTGTCCTTGATTTATCTCCGGTATCACCAGTATTTCAAAAGGAGGCCTTAACAAACTGATTACTGACTTGAATTTTTGCCCTTTACATTGTTGGTTTCATTAGCAGTAAGTACTTTATAAATGCATAAAAGAGCTTTAAAGAGCTGAGAACATAAATAAGGCAGGTAAACAAAGGGCACCTTGTTGAGATAAGGTGCTTGTCCAGTATCATCAAAAATAATCTGAGAGAGAGCTGGGAATGAAATACAACGTATTGAATTTCAATGATCATCTATTTTAGGCTAATTTAAACAAGAAATTTAATGGGGTCTCCCCAAGGAGATGGACATACACGATTCTTATCTAACCCAGCTTGCCAGGATGTGGGGGCAGGATTCTCAGAGTTCACCTTGTGTGAAAGCTGGCTGCCAGCTAAAAGGGAGAAATACAAATTTTCATTCCCACAGCAGGCAAGGTTTGCTGGGTGGGCTCTGCTTTAAAGGCCACAGCATGAGCTGCACACAGTGGGTTTGGGGTTTTAAAATGCCCTGACCCTCAGATTATGACTGTGCTGAAATCCCATACAGTTTAAAAGATTCATTTCTATCATCATTTTGCAGAATCAGAGTTTGGTTGAACTGTAACATACTTCATGCTATTATCTTAAATTTTCAGGAAAAAAAAAAATGGTTTCCTAGTACCCCAGTATCACTTGAACTTGCCAAGCTTCAGCAAAGATAGCAATGATTGCCATCTAAAACAAAAGAACTGGGAGGACAAGTTCTTTTTTTTCTGCTTGCTTATCACTGTGTCTATCTGAAATGGAGCTAAAAAGAAATCCTGGTGAAACCATTTCAGTGACTTTGCTGGTAAAAGGGTCAGGAGTTTGTTGTCCTCCTAGGAAAGGATAGCTACTTTATACTGTTCTCGTTTGAAGTTAAGGCTATGGAGAAAGATTGTTTAAAAAATTATTTTTAATTTCCATATTACAAAAACAGAGCAATCTTGCAGACATGTAAAATTACGCTTTCTTGCAGATAGTAGGAACTTCTCTACTTTTGCTTTGGCGTTTGATGATTGTTGTTACAATGGTTGATCTTAGTGATTTTGTTCATTCTTTGGCTCTAAATGTCTTTTGTCAGATCTAAGCCTTTCCTGGGCTATACAGGTGTAAATGGGTGTTACTGAGTGCAAGTGGGTACTTGTTTAATTCAGCCCTTTCCTAGTGTTAATCCTAACACTGGTGTCAGATCGATTCTACATCTTAGTGTAAAAAACTGATAGATGATGGAAACACATCTATTGTAAGAAATGCATGTGACAAAATACCAAGGTTTGCTGAGGGCAAATTAAGGTTGATGTAGCTGCTCTTGGCAATGTTTTCTTAATTACAGTTGTCAGCTAACTTTCTTGGCTAACAGCACAGAATTTGTGTGCTTCTGAGTAGATTCAGTATTCATTCAACTTAAAAAGCTAAAATGGCTTTTTGTCTGTGAAAGGTGTGTCTGTACCTTGTTGTTTCATGGATCCTCTATAGACAGTGAAAATTAGATGACAGCATCTGTAAAATATGTAAAATACTCTTGAAAATACTCATTGTCCTTTAAGCCAGAATTCCATCACAGCCTTGGCAGGTCTGTAGGAAAAAGAAAAAAAAAAAAAAAAAAAAAAAAAAAAAAAAAAGTTGTTTTTCTTCTCATTCATTCAAGTTCAAAACAATGAAAATTCCAATTTTTTTTCTCTGATACCAAAGAAAGACTGTTACTGCTACAAACAAGTTTTCTAATATGTCATTAATTTACTTATTAGAATCTTATCAAGGTAAAAGGATAAAACTATAGAAAAGTGTATCGTATAGATCTTTTACTTATTAGATTAAATAGTTCCTAATAATTATAAACATTGCCTGTATTCCTCAGAGGAAGAGACTTAGATCCTGATATATTTGTAGTCATGTGTCAGGAATGACAGCACTAAGATTTAACTGATAGAAAAGAAGGGTCTTTTTTTTTTTTTCCCCAGTGTCCAGACTGGCTAAGAAAGCTGTTCATGCCTTTGCAGTCCATTTTCTGCAAAGAGGAGTTAACCTTCTTTTCCTAATTATTGTAGACAAGGCCTTAAAAGACCTGGTTCCTCAGAGGGCTGCACATTTCATATGGTAGTGAGCAATATTAACAGAGCTTTCCTTGTTGGTGTTTAAAAGGTTCTCATTGTTAGGAGGTGAAAAAATTGAGAGAATAAGCACCAAGAGCTAAATTAATATTCAAGAAATATTATGAATGCTACAAGAAAAGTAGCTAATGTTTCCAAATGAAAACTGCGATCTGAGTCTTCGTAGATGATTTAACGTGGTGACAGCACCAATAGAATATAACTGGATTTAATTAGTAGAAAATATTCAAATAATTATTGGAGAAAACTCCTTCTACAGTTTAAATTATTACTTTAATAAGAGATTATATTCTAATACTTTACACAAACAGCAAGATGAAAAATAACACTAGTGTCCCAAATGTTGGGGCTTTGTTTTTTGTTGTTTTTTTTATTAAAAAAAAAAACCCTGGCCTGCCGGTACACATGCTTGCTGACATCTGTATGCCATTTTCATTTGACTAGGTTATTGAATCTTTTTATTTTTAAGCCCATTTGAGAGAGCACCATTAAAAGGCTCCACATTTATTATTCTGCTGTATTTACTACATAGAAAACTAGAAATGTGTGCTTATCTCTCAAGCTGTCCCTTTCCCTCCTGCCTTTTTTCCTCTTTTATTGTAGCAGCAGCCCCTTGTGCAGTCAGTTGTGGCAGGGACCGCCAAGATTCCCCAGTCAAGGGTAGCATGAGCACCTCTGTATCATTGTTGTTACTGTCTTCATCTCTGAAACAGGTCAGTTGACATGTCAGCATCTTAAACATCCTCTGGAAGGTGGCCACAGCTGAATGCAAGAGGACAGATGTGGATGGCTGCTGCGGCCGTTTGTATGAGCTCTAGGCAGTTGCAGTTGTGACTGCGGGTGGGTTAAAAAAAAGGTCTGCATGTCTACAACAGATTTTCCTTCCCTTTTTTAATTTTTGCCATGGTAGGGTAATTCTCATTAAGGATGTGTTCCCTGAAACTGGGTAGCTAAATTGTTTCAGAGTTACTGTGCTGAATATGACATGAAGATGAGAAACATGGACTTAACCAAGTGTAGAGCCTCACCAGCTTGGCTGACTAGTGCCTCAGCTGTAGCTCCCGGTGCTTTCTCCTTACCTTGCATCAATTATTCATGCCTTTGCTGTTCTAGCTCTCAGAGTTCAGCTTGTCTACTTTCATCATCCTCCTGGATGCTGACAAAAGGCTACTGCCCAATACACGGCTGCGGTAGCACTTGCAAATGTGATGCTCTTGAGGCCACCAGGAGAAAGGAATGAGTGGAACCACTGTTAACCAAATAAGGGTGCATGGCTGGCTTCAAAACAGACAACTATGGAGAGCATTTACAGTGAAAAACACTACATGGTGGTTTTCCCTTTTTTCTTTCAGATACTGTTTCTTGCAGACCTACAGCCTGACTCATTCCCTCTTGTAAGGCTTCTCATCATGTGTGCCTCTCTGAGCCAACAGAGTTGCTGTAGTTTAATTCCACATTGAAAAGTGCTGTACAGAGAGGCGACATTTCAAAGCTGAGATCTGAATTACTTAATTTGCTAATTAGCTATTCATTAAAATACTCTGCAGCAGTGAACGGTGTTAAACTGGGGCTTTATCTCACACTGCTCAGGACTTAGCCTTGCTGGAGATAGCGATTTTTACTTGCTCTCCCAGACTGTTATTAATCTGACTTCTCTTATCTCAAATGAGGCAAAGTAGAGAATTGCATGCTTCCTTTGTGCTAGAAGCTCTGTGTAGCTTTATATATGTGTGTAAATATATGTACATGGACTGCACAAAAAAGTATTCATCCCCAGTAACAGGTGGTGCTGGCAACACCTGTTGCTGGGGTCACTCAACACTCCAGTATTAAAACCCTAATTTTAGTTGCTTATAACTTTTGTCAAACTTAAACATTTGGGTTGCAATGTTATGTGCCAGGTGTCTGCCTTAGGCTGATTTGGGGGGAGCAGGGTGGGGAGAGGAATTTATCAGCAAAACCGTAACTGCCAGTTCAGGGAGCAGAGGCCAGGGCACTGGTTTGCCTGTAGGAAAAAATGAACTATTGCTGGTTGAGATGTTCCGGCAGCTTCCCTTGTCCAAAGCCAAAAATTGCCAGTGGAGACCCCCTGCAGCAGGGCATGTCTTTTGCCAGCGTTATGGAAATTCGCTGTTTTACTGACAATGCAGCTCTTTCTGGCTAAATTATGGGCCTATGAAAATGCTTGGTGGAAGTTTGTTGACAGCTGCCCACCAGGCTGCTTCCATCATGTCCGTTCCCAAACAGCAGTGCTGTGCTGGTGACCCTTTGGATGCAAGATGCCCATGAAGCAGCAGAGTAAGCCCTGGAGTCTGGGCATGGAGCAAAGCAGGCTGCTGCGCACAGGGGCACCAGTCCTCAGAGCAAGTGCAAGCCGCTCAGTTTGTGCTTACACAGCATGAATAAATAGGAGGGAAAGGCTGGCTGGAGTCCAGAGGAACTGATGATGAAGGAAGGGAGTGATGGGCTGAAAGTGGTAAAAGCAAAGGACACAGGGTTTTAAGAACTGTAAAAGGAGAAATACTGAGGAGACAGACCGGTGTGATAGGGCAGATAGACTGAGAAGGGTTGGAGCACTGCTCCGGCCAGTCCATGACCTCAGGATTCCTGTGGTCCCTGACTACCTAGCTGAAATATTCCACTGATAATACTCAGCTCCTCAAGCACATGATTTACACAGGAATACAATCTATACAGCTGCCAGTGGCTCCCCTATTCGAGTGTGTAGACTTGAACCTACTCATAAAGACTTAGGAGTTTTCATGGTTTCATCTGATACTGTTTCAGGAGGCAGAGTTGTTAAATTTATTTCTGCTTAATAGAAACATCAATATTTTCATTCTTTTTTCTCTTTTTAAGTATTTCCTAGCTTTTGCTTACTCTACCTGCACTTGAAGGGTTGTTATGTGTGCAAGTAAATCTCTTTGTAAATACTACATTTGTTTCTCACTGTATAATCTTGCTTTGGAATCTGTACTACATTTGTAGCTCACAGTATGCAAAATCACACTAGTAAGTCAGTCATAGATACCAAAGCAGTCTGTGGTTTCATCTAGGTTGCAAAAACATTTGAACAGACTGCTCATATTATTTTTAAATGTTGTCCTTTCTTGATCGTTGTGGGAATTAGAAACAAACTGCCTGCTGCAATATATTCTGTTTCATATTACTTAGCATTTTCCCATAAAAATCTGAAGAAATGCCACAGAACCTGATCAAAGTTTAAAGTCAGTTTGTTATTGAATGATGATGATTTTTTTTTATTATAGGTAAAGCCTCAGCCAAGAAACTGACAAAAAAGGTAAGCAAAATGTTCCTTTCCTTCTTCAAAAGAACTTGCATTCTTTCTGTTACTCAACTGAATAGACTGCTCTTTCAAAACTGGCTTTATATTTTCTTATTTGTGTCTTTAAAGGAGGTAGATGCTGCACTGCTATGCGTTGCCAAAGCCAAACCAGGGCCGACCTTTTTTAGAGGACTTGGTGATCAAGGTAATGAGCACTTTTAATACTGAAAAATACATCTTGCTTTTTATCTCATTATACGGTACGAATTGAATGTATTTTTAAAGAAGGTTTCATGGATTTGACTTCATCCCCGTCTAGCCAGTAGCTGCCTCCTTGGCAAGTCTCTTCAGTTATGCAGGAGACAGTAAAGAGGCAGGGCTGGGAATTGAAAGCCTTCTGAGTTGCAGGAGGAGACGTGAAAGAAATTAGAAAGCCTACTTGGAGAAGAGAAAGGGGCTAAAGAAATTAATTCTTTTAAGACTTGTTTTTAATAAGCAGGTGTTCCACTATATAACTTAAATGCATGGAAACTAAGAATAAAAATAAAATTTATATCTAATTATATAAAGCAGCATCCCTGATTCCAAGACCAGTTGAACTTACTTCTCCCTCTTCAGGAGCTCTGTGGCCCTTCACAGCACCAATGTACTTCGGTTTCTTTTCACCCAGCATTTCCACCTTGTATTGGGCTACATAAAGAGAAAACTGAAAGCTGGGATATTGTTTGTATAACAACAGGGAATTAAAGAACACCAAATAAACACCTCATTAACATAAATTAATTGAAGGGAGAAAACAAACAAGAGGATCAAGGAACCCAAATAGATGAGTAATTAACCATTTCACCAGCTAAAATGACTGAAATCCCCAGACTAATGAGAAAGACTGACAGCATCTATTCACAAACTTTCTGTATCATAGAGTTCAGCCTGAATCCCTTATCCTGTGGAAGGTTCTAGAAAATAAAGCTGCCCTTGCATTGCTGCAGTTCCTTGGCAGGCATGAGCCACGCTCTCTCCATGCACAGCAGTTCCCCAGGCACAGCTGGCACCTTGTGCCAAGAGAGCAGCCCTCAATCTCAGCCCGCAGCGTTTGGCCTCATGGCTCATTCTGCGTGCGGTTCATTTCTTGCATCCTTGTGCAGATGTGGAGGGATCTTCAGCTGGGTGTCTTACTTGTCAGTCTGTTCCTGCATGCCCCAGCATAGCTCAGCAGCCCTGAAATATCTCTGAACAAGTTCAACAATTGTTTCTTATCCTGTGGAAGGCTGAATTTTGTATTGAATAGTAATTCCCTGCTTTTTCAAATTACTAATCTTCATGTGCTTTCCAAGAATTGGGTTTAAAGGATTCCCAGTCTTTAATTCTTGGATATTTCTATATCCCTGCTTTTTTAGAGCCTTTCTTCTCTAGTGGTTGATACTGCAAATCCCCAAAGCATTCTGCCTGGGGAAACCGGGAACCCGCTAACAGAAAGTGAAAACGTAGCAAATCGACTTGGCCTCCTTTTATTGCACCTCTCCCAGCTGACTGCTTGGCAAAAAGTCTGCTTGGTGATAAACTCAGCCTGGAATCTTTTGCATTCTGGACAAGGTGTTGATCTCCCTTTGCTGAGGACTGTGAGTCTGTATACTCTGTCTTTCAAAGGTCAGGTAGGAGTTGGAGATGATGCAGGAACTTTCGGTGCAGTCATCCATCTGTCTCCACAACACATGGAGTTTTTACAGTTTTTGGTCATGATGCCTCTTTAGTGACTTTGATGCTTTTGCTTTAAGATGTGTTATTATTATTACATTTAAAATTGTAAATATTTATATATTAAATATTGCTTTTACAAGTACCAGAATAATCAGTCTACACCTGTTTAGCTGAGATTATTTTAACTACCGTCGAATTGTTATTTAAATATCAAGTAGAGGGAAAACTGTCATCAGTCCAGTTTGTAAAACAGAATGCTGGGGAACTCTGCCTTCTAGTGGGCAATTTTAAAATTCATGTCATATTTTGTGGGTATATGTACGATTTATTCAGCAATAACAACATTGTACTGTCAGCATTTGCTATAAAGTTTGAGGGTAGAGATTTTCAGGGAGGGAGAGGAGAGGATTCATTGAGTGTTAGAAAATGACAGTATTTTGCCAATGCTAACTGCAAATACTTGGCTGCAAGTATGCTGAGTCATTCAACAGTATGCGAAACTTTTATCTTTTAAATTTTGGTTGGATGTGATTCTTTTTCTTTTTTTTTTTTAGTTTTTGCGTTGCATCTTTTAATTTGCGTAACTATGTAATGATTAAAAAGAAAATTAGAAAAATATTTAATTTACTAAATGGATGAAGTAAATTGGTCATTCACAACAGGTAGTAAAAGGACAATAAAATTAAAAGAAGAATTTTTATGGCAATGAGTCAACAAGTTAAAAAATCTAACCTCAAATTAGTTTAGTATAATCAGTCTGACAGAAAATGTCAGACAGGCCGTGGATTTGCTTTAAGGCACTGAGACAGATTTTAAGGAACAATCAAGAATTTTTTTAACCTTTTTTTAATATTCCATTTACCTTTTTACCTATTTCACTAGACTGACTCATTTTCAATCAGATTATGATAAGATGATGAAAACAGAGTCTGTGTCTTGCCCCTACTGTTTCTTGCAAGGCTTTTGTTCCAACATGAGCAGGCTTTTGTTCCTGCTCATGGCAGGGGGGTTGGAACTAGATGATCTTTAAGGTCCCTTCCAACCCAAACCATTCTATGATTCTGTGATTCTATGATTTTCTTTCCAGCCCTCTGCAATTCGAGTGAATTGAGCCATCGTGCTTCTTCCTTGAGTCAATAAGCAGGGTGTTGTCTTTAAATTGGTCTTTTCTTTACATCCTACCATCTCCATATAAATTTTGCTGATTCTTTCTGCAACATTTTATAACATACAATCTTCCCTGTCCACCCATACAGCTAAAACTCTGACAACTTTTTTTTTCTCTGTCTTTAAGAAACATAATCTACCATGTTAACACCCTTTCAAATGCTTTGATAAAGATGTTTTTCTTGCATGACTCCTTTGAATGTGTAGTCTTTTCTTTTGTGTTGCAACACTGAGCTCTCCCTGTTCTGTTTTATCTAGAGTAAACTGCTTGTCTTCACCTTCTGGGCCTTCCCCAGACTATTCCTGTGCAGCCCATCTCCAGACAGCTGAGAGGCAGACTCCCATTTCTCCTTGGCCAGTGATGCTGGCCTTCATCACTTGCTGGTTAAATTTTCAGGCTGAGATCTTTGTGTTGATGCCATTGCAGTCCACAACTGGGAGGCGTTTTCTATATGGAGTTGAAAAGTTACCTCCTTGTCTTTCTTTATATTCTTCCTTTAAACATTTTTCTGCTGTGACACACACAAAACAAAATTAGGGAGCAGAAATCTTGATCACTGCCCATCACACTATTTTCTTGATTTATTTTCCTCCCCTACTTGTTTCTATCAATTTTTAATATCATCTTACACTTAGGCATATAAGCTAAAAAAAAAAAAAAAAGGGGGGGTAGGAGTTATTTCTCTGTTTGTAGAGATTTGTAGAATTTGTAGAAATCTTGGACAGTATCTAGGAACATGATTCCAAGTTTTACAGCAATGCAAATAATAATAATTAACATTCTTGCAATAGCAGTAACCCTAAAACTTGTAAGCAAAACTAAATCTTTGAGGTGAAGGTATTTTTTATTTCCACAGTGTATTGTATGGCTGTAGTACTATGCTGATTTGCATGCTGGGTAATAGGGTGAATAGCCATATTTTGATGGAGAGGAAAATGGTGATACGGAATGAGAGTGAGTTGGCAACAGGATCAGCATTAGACCTATCTTTAGCTAAGACTTGTTCTCTGATTTTCAGACTCTTGCTTTCAGCAAATCAATATTTCTAAACTCTGGTACTTAAAATTTAGTGTCATGTGTCTGAGGTCAAATACAAATGCTGTGGGCTCTGCATAGTGTTTCATCAGAAGTTAATTGTTTATCACTGAAGCTTAAGTGGATTCCTTATCTATCAATTAAGAAAATATAAATTATAAAAAATAGTTTATCTTTGCACAGATAGGCATGTTTGAACTTCATTATTTTAAGCAGCTTCAGCGTTATATGATGTTTAGCTCACAAGTTAAAAGTAGCTCAGTTATTTTGAAAAGTGATTTCTAAAAAAGCCCTTTACATTTTTTCTCCAAACATTATTCCAGGGCAGATGGTTCAGATTCTGTTGTTTAACCACTCTCATTAAGAACTCTCTATCTTTAGCTCGTACGCTCTATTTTGACGCTATCACATCTTTATGTTTGTTCAGGCTTTTCACTTAAGGCGGTATTTCAAAGGAAAACACTGGAATTTTCCTTCAAAAGGGGGGAAAATACTTTCACCTTGTAGAAAGGACATGTTCCTATTTTAAAAAAAAAAAGAAGCCTCCTCTTGGCACACAGCCCAGCAGTACTATCAGCACAATCTAGCAGCTTGGCAGCTTTGCGTGTTGCCATGTTCCCCTTGAGAATTAGAGGGAAGCTATTCCCCGCCTTCTCGAGCCTGCCAAAGGATGGAGGACTTTGATCCTTCAGGGTAACGTTAGAGTAGTTCTCCTCCCAGGTACTAAATGTGACAAAGCACATTTAATTTATTTGCCTTTTATATAAACATTGAATGTTTTCAGTGAGAAACCAAAGATTTAGTGTAGGCCTTTTATTAATACCAAATAAACCTTACTTTCTTGATTAGACATGAACATTGATGAGTCTCTGGATAGGGAATTTTACCTTCAGAGCACTAAAACCAGAGTAAAAACTTTATTAAATAATAATGTGGCTTACTTTCATAACCTATTTCATATGATGCTAAACTAATTTTTTTATATTTATAAGATTTGATCTTTCAAGTCTTGCTATAAATTGGGGGGTTTTTTGTAAGTAATTTTTTAACTCTTTTATTTCAGGGTTGATATCTTATGCAGAGTACCTATTTTTGCTGACAATCCTTACAAGTAAGTATTGTATATTTAAAACAGAGTTGATGCATACATCGTCTACTAACAGCTTTCCAGGGATGAATTCTGATATTTTTTGACTTCTAAATGTCTACATTTTAGTAAAATGTAAAGAACTATTGCATATAGAGTGATAAGGCATTAATATAAATTGATATAACTTTAATTGATTGCAACTTACTTCCATAGTATCATCACTGGTCTGTAGCAATACTTTAAAAATCATTATAATCCCTGTACCTTGGGAACAGTAAAGTCTTTCAAGAGACTTTGAGAGAGGGGACATATCAGTTACAAGGCCACATAATAAGGGGAAGAACAACAGTGGGGCAAGGTGGATAATTTGTCTTCTGGCCAGTAGTCTTAGTAGTTTTGGACAATAAGATATTAACATTATAGCTCATGCAGTGGTGTAAGAAGCTGTTGTGGTGTCTGAAAGGTTGTTGCCTATTATTCGTGTGTTCAGATATGCAATGGATGATATACATAAACAGCAGACTTCTGCAGTGTCTTTTTGTTTGACTTTTTAATCCTTTTTTTCCCTCTGTTCCTGTTGAGTTTATTTCCTCCAAGTACTTTGCATGTATTTCTGTCCCCTCCTTTGCCTCCTTCCTTTTTCTCTATCAGACACTTTTAAAAAAAAAAAATTGTTCAGTATTTGCTTTAGCTGCAAACAGCAGGCATTTTTTGTTTGTGCGTGGAAGTGATCTTGGATTTTCTGTGTTGCCTCATCCATACTTACTCTGTGCCATGCTTGCCACCTCCCCGTGCTGTTCTGATGAAGTGTGGGTGATGCTGGAAAATACTGAGATTTGAGATAAGATGTGCAATGAGTGTTACACAGAGAGACCTATCGATAGACCACTAGTGAAGTAGTCTGCATGCATGTCCATGTAGTAGTCCATATGCAGTTTTGTTTGACTGACTTACACAGGTCTAACGTTTTAAGCAAGGGACAAAACCAAGCATACTGGATCTCGTGGTATCAGTGAATGGGGAAAGGAGAGAAAGAAGCGGTCGTTCTTACCCCAACGGACAGTAGATACTTGAGCCTCATCACTTCCATGGCTGTGAGGTCCATGGCAGAGGCTTAAACAAATTGATGAGTTTTCCTTGCTCTAGAAATCCACTGTCATGGTGTAGTAAGAACAAGTAATGTTGGTCTCCAGAGTCCAGTCTTCACAGACAATGACTGTCAGTACACACCTCTCGCACAGTTTAGACAGGCCTTTTACAAATTACGCCGTTTCTCAGCAGAACTGCATTGGTTTCTACTAGGAACTTCAACTAGTACACAATATTACATAGTATATGTAAACTAATGTAACCTACTTACCATACAAATGTACTGTTTCACCAGTAGTGGCTGTCCAGTGCTACACACAACTTGAACATGAGTTATACTGTGTGTTCAAATGCTTTTTAAAATCAGAAATAAGTCTAGCCCAGTTAGAAAGTTGATTTAAAAATATTTGTTGCAACTCAAAGAAGAGGGATTTTTTTTAAGTAAAGCACAATTACATTATAACTTCAAAAGAATACCTTAATTAAAATAGATTTGGCAGAAATAGATGCCAAAGATTCTGTTTCTTTAAAAATCAGTGGCAGCTGAAAATAAATTCATGATGATTTATTGGCTGAAACAATTAGAAAATTGAAGCAGTATCAGAGCAAGTTGTTCCACTTCTCCAGACAATCAAGTAACATTATTTTTCACAAAGTTTATATAGGAATGTGTTGAACTGCAGAAACAAAGGCAGCTTTTAATGCAGAATAAAACTGCAGTGCTAGTGTCACTGCTTTGGTTACACAGACGGTTATCATACCAATCAGTTTGAAAGCAAACGTCAACAAGTGTTAGTGCCACTGTCTTTGCCTAGCAAGTATCCCATGTCAGTCAGCCCCCAGTTACACAAGCTGGCCCTCTCACTAGTGAGAATTAATGTGAAATTTCTTAAAGCAGCCATTAATATTTAAATGACTTCTTCTAAGTCACCAACAGGGCAAGAGAAACGGGAAAAGAGTCGTCGGGTTTACAGTGTCCCAGTTCTAGGAAACTGCTGAGCAGACCATGCTGCCTGTCATACAAAAGCACCATCTGTAACAACACTGAAATTGAAAATATAGTTTTGTGGCAGACAAAGACTCGATTTTGTCCCCTGTGATCCCTTTCCTCTTTTCTGTGTGCCTTGTATCATCGTTATCTTTTTTTCTTCCAGTGCTGTACTGAATTTCATTTCCAGCAATTGGTTAATGGAGCTTCAGGTGAAGGAGCCCGGGAACTGAAATAGTCACCTTGACTCAAAGCTTTGTTTCAATTAGCCAGTCTCACAGCTTGACAGCTTGGTCAATGTAGGAATGGTTGTAGGGGATGCACCTAAGTCTAACCTGCATTCCCAACTAAGACGAAGCTCCTCTGTTCAGATTTTGGAATTCTGCCTGATTCTAATTAAATACAAATATATCTGAGGTAGTCTTTGAACTATGCTTATTTTACGAACACATACCTTCGGAGTTACCTCATATCAGATAAGTATGTCATCTCTGAACAGTATAAGCAGCTTTAGGTCCTATATTTTCAGTAACAGCTCTCTTATCTGAAAATTGCAACACAGATGGTATGAATTACTATTAAATACATCAATTACTTTTATTCTCTAAATATGTTATAAGATAGGCTCTTTTTGCTTTTGTACTAGTAACACAAATTTAGCGTGTGGCATTTGCATGGAAAGGAAGCCAGTATTGCAACCCAGTTGCTGGGGAAGGGCTCTGCTTTGCAGATTGCAATGTTATTTATAAAATATCCCTGCATCACAAGGTTGCTCCACAGACATTAGCTGGCTGCTGAAGATGTAATTATTTCTAAAATGTAAAAATAGTACTTTCTTTAACCATCTTGTTATCAGTTAGAAGGAACAGGGTATTTCTTTAACTTGTTCCCTTTGCAGAAAGATTCTCTTAAAAAAAAAAAAAAGGCAAGACTTAAAACTTTACAGGAGGGAGCTGGAAGAATATATTTCCAGAAGAAAAACTCTGAAGGCATTAGAGGTTTTTTAGAGATATTGCTTCACTGCCCTCGTGAGTCCAACATTGTTCTTGGAAGCATGAATGTATTGCAGAGACGATAAGTCCGTGGCTTTCATTTTAATGCCTGATTTGACTGGGTTGTGGAATTAATTCACCTGCTCCAGAAATTACTGGGATAAGTGCTTGCTTCTGCAGTGAACTGTAACTACATTTCAGCAGCATGCTTCTCCTGTGTGGGCTTGCTAATGAGCAAGGCCACCTCCTGTAAGCAAAGTAAGACCAGGAAATTGTGGGAAGGAGCTCAAAACACACTGTGTTTTTATAGCGCCTGCAAGACTCAGAACTCATTACATTTTTTGTGTTGAAAAGAAGCATCGACTCGGTGAAGGAAATGCAGGGTAAAATTGTATAAAATTCCTGAAAATGGTAGGAGTCGTACAAAACATGCTTTTGTCCAAAAAGGCCAGAGAGAGTGGTTTATTACTTCTCAGTAACATTTGAGTACATTGTTTAGGGAGGGAGGAGAAGGGAAGAAAAAGGCCTGGGGCTAACACAGCGGGAGCAGGAGCCGAGAGAGCTGGCCGCAGTTACAAGGTCAGTCTGTTTGCTGGGGAGCACTAGGGAAGAGGACAAATACTGGCATACAGTAATGTGTGCAAGAAGTACCTGAGGAGTACACTAGCTCTTTCACTCAGTTTGGGAATAATTACTGGTTTCTCAAGGCACTTTCCAGTCTTCTCACCTGAAAAGGAGCTCTAATAAACAAGGCATAGCTAGACTTCAGAAGTGACATGGGATTATGGAGACATCTACAGAGAAAATCTAAGACTGGGACAATAAAACGTACAACGTTTTCACAGTCATTGGGATCGGGTGGGCATTTATGGCTGTACTTGGGCACTGCTGGCATTTCTTGCTTTGCCATTGCATTAATTATCCCTTGAAATGGTACTAAAAAGGCTTTTTAAAAGTTTGCTTATATTGGAGGACGTACATATGGTTTACTGGAAATAACATGTACATGCGTAACAATGGAGAACTGAACCATAGGCAATATTCCTTTTGCATTAAATATTTAAGTAGTAGTGTGTATGTGTGTATGTGTGTTTACAATAAAGTTCTTTCACAATTTGTTGCAGAACCCCAGACTGGATTTCAGATTGCCTTTAAAATGTTGGATACAGATGGCAATGAACAAGTTGAAAAGAAAGAGTTCTTTAAGGTATATTTATTTATATGCATATTAGTTTTAAAGCTTTTAAATAGTTCCATGGATTATATTTGCTAAATGAAGATTCATTAAAATCTTCAAGCCTATTTTTCAGTCCAATCTATGATCACATACTTACTAAAATACTTTATATGAAAAGAACACATACCAAAGCATTCCTATAGAAGTACTTCTTATATTTTAATCCACTTTTAGAAATGTTACCTTGGACTTGTATCTAAAAATCTGTTACTGGGAAGGTAGGAGTTGGTGTACATCCCTTAATCCCATGAGTGAATTTAAATAATCATCTGGAAAAGTCTTTTATTTTCTAAATGTTTTGGATAATTTTAAAAAATCACCATCCTCTCTTGGTTTTTATTAATTTTGTTTGCTATTACACAGGGTTTTTACCAATTCATACTTTGGAGAGTAACAGCAGTTTTTCGGTATTCTGTATAAAATAGGGGAGAAAGATGGTTAAAAAACCCCAAAGGAAATCTTGCTCTGATGTTTTAAAGAAGAATAAGCTTAATTACATACCTTATTCAACTTTTAAGTATTTAACAGGAGACTGTTAATACTTCTTGTCAAAAGTCTAATGTAAAGTTAAAACACACAGTTTATAATAGACTCCCTCAGCTTAATTCAGATTCTTCATTCATATTAGAGGTGACTAGAGAGACAGTTTTATAAGAAACTGAAATGGCTACTACCTACTACAATACAAATTATTTTCTGCCACTAGGATAAAATTCAAGGTTATTTTTAGTGCAACAACTGTACCGAACCATAGAATCTAAAACTTACAAAGATACATCTGTTGATAGAGAAATTACCAAAAATCTATTTATGTGTACTTTCATAGACTTAAACTCTGAATTAATGCTACAATAGCTGTTAGCGTGCATTTTGCACTGATAGCCATTTTTTCAGGGCTCTTAGAAGGATTACAATGGATGAGTCATACTTAAATGTATTTTTAAAAATAATTCTAACTTTGTAGTACCATTTGAAAATAATACTTGAAACTAGACCATTTCCAAAGACAATGTTCCCAGAAACCCCTAACTAAGCCTGTGGATACCCTGCACTCATTTGTTGCCACACAAAATCTTTTAAGCTTGAAAAAATATTTTTGTTAAAATGTTAATTATTTTTCTGATTAAAAAGAAATTAAATTCTAACTAAAGTCTTTATTTTTAACCTATTAAACCTGGTACAATCCTAGTGAATTGTTATCAGAGTAGTAGTGCCCTGATCACCAAAATATGTCTATTATGGCTGTATTGTTCATTTACAAAACAGTATGTTACAGGGGAAGGCAAGTCCATGAACACGAGCAGCCTGTAGCGCCTCTGCACCAAAATGCCACGTTAATGGTACTTCCTTTAAATAGGTACTGTGTCAGTTAAGCAAAAAAGGAGATTCTTGCAGAAATACAGCACAACCCTGTTCGGGAGATGTGCGGTACATCATATATTTAATATCCATTACCCATTTCAGGTAATTCTAATTGAATCAGACAGTATGAGCAACAGAAAGTCATCAGAAGTAGAGTGGAAAACATTATACAAATAATTAAAAATAATTTGATTCCTGAAGAGGCAATCAGATTAAATGATTTTTTTTTTTTAGTTAGATTGTTATTTAGATTAGATTTCCTTTATGGGCTGTATTGATAAATTAATACAGAGTGGTAAAATAAACCCATATAAATTGCAGTGTCAACTCACAGGAATCATTAAATTCAAAAAAGCCCCATAGGATGCAAGCTAGTCAAAAGATGAGTTTTTTTACAGTACTGTTTACTTAACATCCATAAGCCATGACTATTTTAAAGGAAAAATTGTTTTTTAATATAAGAATAAAACTTTCAGAATGTAAGAATCTGAAAAAATGTGTATGCATTAATCTCTGTATACTCTAGTTCTGTATGCATTATAGAAAGCTTCTGTGTATCTAAGAAAAATATCTCTAAACTGTTAGTTATTTCCACACTATATTTGACAATAACATCAGGAAACATATATAAGGAATGAGCAGTGGAAAAGAATAGCAAAGAAGCAGTAATTAGGAGGCAGTCATTGTAAGCAGGATGTGGTGGACAAAGAAATTTCAGTGCTATTTCATTCTCTTGCTTTGTCATCTATACTGATGAGACATCAATGTATGTCTACATTATTTGTTGATCTAGACTGTAAATTCTTTGAGGTAAGAACTTTACCTTTTTGTTTGCAGAATGTCCATCATTCTTCAAATTGCATATATCTTGACTCTCAGGTGTTACTGGATAAACAGAAACAAGCTGTGTCAGGGGTATCATTCAGGAAAGGGAGAAGGGTGACAAGCAGACTCTACAACCCAAGTCCTTAGTGCCTGCAGCATGTGATGGAGATAGGCTCTTCAGACCTGTATGGATCAGACATGGAAGGAGTGTGAGAGGCTGGATTTCCCAGGAGATTTAGCACTCTTTGCTAATGTAAATGAATGTTCAGGAAATTAGATCTTGAATGCAATTGCATATTTTGAAGGAGAGAGTTTGTCTTGTCCTCCATAGCCTGTCCATTTCTGTGCACGTTTTCCTCCTTTCCAGTACGAGTTAAGTCTGTCCCTTCCCAGGGGCAGACTGTTATTCTCTTTCCTCTCTACTTCTTTGTATTCAAGCCAGTCTATTTTTAATTTCTGCTTCATCCATGTTTGAGTGGTAAAAATTTACAGTACAGGAGACATTTCAGTATTAGGACCCAGAATCACAGCAGTCTGTATTTTGAGGTGGGTGTCTGCAAGGATTTGTTGCTTTTCAACTCCAGAGTGAAGAAGACACAGTAGAAATGGCATGTTCACAGATATTAGTTGCCATCCTTTAATCAGTCCCTGCCAGAGTGCAAAGAATTGTTACTCAGGGCCATGTTATCTGCATCTTTGTGAGGACAGTAAGATACTTCTGTGAACTCCGCACTTCTGAGACATTCACGTGAGACTCAGTGAGGGGGATTTCCAGACATGCACATAATAACCCATGCACATTAATCTGAGACCTCCCATCAAGAATAAGGCTACCAAAGATCCCAAAATCCCCAGCAAGTGAGGAATTTCCCTAACTCTGTCCTGATGAAAGATTTCTAAGTGAAATTAATGACAACTCAAAGCTATTGGGAATGGAGGTAGGGTAACTCTGATGGCACATGCAAGAGCTATGTGATTAACTTTCTATATAGACTATCTTTATACGTTTGTCCTGGACAGCAGATACCACAAAAATCTTGTAGAGGTTCACCTAGTGCAGAATGAACCAGCACCTGACACTGTCAGCAGTTGTCGTGGTTTGGTACTGAGCACCTCTGCAGTCCTAGAACATCCACAAGCACTAACTTCTCTTAAACAACTGAAAGATGGAAAATCACTTTTTTATTTTTTAAGACTGACGTAGCCTTTCTGACAGCTCTTGTCATCTTCAGAAAAGATTACTTTTAATACGTGTTTAGTAAAGAGGCATCAGTTGTGAATAATAGGTCTCACTATCTTTGAATTAGCCATTGTATCTTCCAGTGATGAACAGATATAAATATTAAGTATGGATAAGTGTTACATGGAGCAGTTGAGTATTAGAGTCCATTTCTAAAGGGCAGAATTCTTCTCTTTCTGTGAGCAGTTGCTGCACTGTGCTGGAAAAATCTGCAAACTACTGGAAATAGTTTCAAGCACTACAAGGATTTACATAGAATCATAGAATGGTTTGGGTTGGAAGGGACCTTAAAGATCATCTAGTTCCAACCCCCCTGCCATCAGCAGGGACACCTTCCACTAGACCAGGTTGCTCAAAGCCTCATCCAGCCTGGCCTTAAACACTTCCAGGGAGGGGGCAGCCACAGCTTCTCTGGGCAACTTGTTCCAGTGTCTGACCACCCTCACAGGAAAGAATTTCTTCCTAATGTCTCATCTAAACCTCCCCTCTTCCAGTTTAAAGCCATTTCCCCTTGTTCTATCACTACCTGACTTTGTAAAAAGTCCCTCCCCAGCTTTCTTGTAGCCCCTTCAGGTA